TAGATACATACTCATATACATAGCAGTTCGGAACATATCGAGCCCTGCCACTAACAGGAGCATTATTCTCCCGCTTACCACAATAGAAATGGAAATGGAAACTTTTCTTTGTTAACAATGCTGGGCTCTGACTGTATTACTCACTGAATTGTGCTGGTGTCTCCTGCTCCCACAAACGTTCAGGTAAGTGGGTTTCTTAAAGACGCGGCTCCCAAGCACCTCCTGGTCCCCCTTCATTTCAAGCCTCTGTGTGCCGCGCTTGGATAAATCTGCAGTCTCCATTATCTCTTGAGAGGCTCAGCTCTCTGCACGGCGCTCTGTTTTTATTTTCACTAAGCTGTCCCTCTTGGTTTCCAACTGCTGAATGCTATCTACAGATTGTGGGTGCAGTAGGATATTTTTATGATAAGGTTTCTAAATACCCGGGGGATGAAGAAACAGTATTTAGAGAACACAAAAGCAACTCTCCCCACCTCTTTTCTGTTAGTTAAATGAAGGTGGTAATGTGCTCGTCATTAGCCGCAGCCGAGGCCTCTTGGTCACTTGACTTAGCCGAAATGCTAATAGATGTGTTAAATTATCAGATTCTCACTTCCGCCTTTATTTCAGCTAAGCCACATTATGTGATTCACTTCCTTTCTAGGGACCTGTAAATGGCTGCTTTCACTCCCGGTGGCATTAAAAGGCGCTTCACTTCACAAAAGGCACCTCAGCCGAGACTCCACTAGAAATCTGTGTGATGTGTCTGTAAACTTCAATTGCAGGTTGTGCACTAGGGAGTCTTCAGCCACTTCTCTCTGCAATTAACGGCTTCTTGGGAGTGCACATTATAAAAACAAATTCAATGAACACTTAATGTCAGTGCACTAAGGTAATGTTTACTGCTTGTTGACACTGCATCAGTCAGGTCTAAAAGCTTCTTTATTTCCTCTTTGTTCCTCTGCACTTTTGTCTGCGCTGGTGGATCGAGTTGATGCAATGATTTATCAGAGAAAAAAACTGTTACTGTGTCGTGTCGTTTTCACCTTTACATCTTTAAAAGCTTCACCAAAGCTCGCAGTCAGTGCACACGTTCTTTTCCGTCTTCATTGAGAGCAAGTTTGTCTGCAACGTGTCTGTAGTCTGTTATTTCTGTGGAGTTGGAGGTTGAATTTTCTCATTGCAGTTTTGCGAAACCCGCAGATCATCTCATTAGATAAAAGCTATGAAACACTTGGCTCCGGCTTATCATTCTGGAAAAGATGGGGCGCTGTTTACAGCGAGATAGAGTATAGCATAAGAAAATTACAAATCTATTCTTCAGGGTAAAATATGTGGGGGATTTAATTTGCATTTTACTTCACATTATAGATTCACTGTTATCTGTGAAATTACCATTATCTGGGGGGATCTGATGGAAATCTGTTTTACACCAGGGTGGCTTCACACTCTGGGTCGCTTCCGCGCTGTGTCACCACTAGGGGACACCCTCATAGACCTGCAGCTTGACTCTGTGATGGAAGTCAAACATGGCTACACAAGCACACACACACCATACTGAAAGTTAATATCTCTGCTGACCCCACATATCAATTTTGCAGTAAAATCCACTTAATTACACAATATTCCTTTATTTGATGTTTAGTTTGAAGTTTAAAACAGACACTTACATTTATGTAATGTGTCCTGATGTCTGACCTGCTTTATTCTCCACACACCAGATTGAAAATGCGAGTGTCTCTGGGTGTCGACGCAGTTCATGTTTGTGGAACAGTAGGAAACTAGGAAGGCCCTGCAAAGTAAAAAGCTCCCAGGTGGTGAATAGCATGGCCACTTGAGCCGTGCAGAATGTGGGTCCTTGAAGCTTGGACATGTGGTGATGTTTTGTCAGAGGAAATGGGATGTATTTGCATGGACAAATTCCTCAGAGCCAGGGCCTTCCCCAGATCAGGGGGATCACACTGTTTGAATTGGCTGAGTTCAGTCGGGCCTACCAGGGCCCGGGCAGCCTGCAGTCACAGTATGGGTCTCTCTCTGTGTGTGAGACACAGAGCAAACACAGAGCTGTGTGTGTAGCGTGTGTGTGTGTTTGTAGTGTGTGTGTAGTGTGTGTGTAGCCTCAGGGCTGCCTGGCCCTGCTAGTTGTAGCACAGCACATCTGCACATACACACACTGCACCTCAAGGCTGCCAGTCCTTTGTCAGAGCTTGATAAAAATGGAGCGATGTGCTTTCCAATGAAAAGTTGAAGTTCACAGCTAGTGGATTGTAGAGACATTTATATCCTGATTTTTTTAATTTATCATTGCGAGGATTTAATTTTTTACTGTATGTAGAAAAATCACCAGTATTAGACTCCAACTGCCGGAAATAATGTCATCAGGCTGAAAAGTCCAGAGATTTAAGGAATTGATTTCGTACTTGTGAGCGTTTTTAATCTGTCATCCTTTTAAAGTCGTATAAAAGCAGATTAGTCTGACTTGAACATGTCTCATTAAGAAAACTAAACATTGCAAACTGGTTTAACTAGTGGTGGAAAATAATCAAGTACATTTACTCTAATGTTGTATTTGAGTACTCTTTGAGATACCTCTGTGTTACTTCATGTCAGTGGTGAACATTGTACTTTCCATTTACTCTTATTAGTAACTTTGCAGATGAGCCTTTTTCATACAGAACACGATAAACTCTTCAGATATAATGCACTACAAATCATGGTACTGCTACTTTTACTACTTTTACATCCCTTACTGTGGAGCATTTTAGCAGCCTTTATCAGAGTGGCTAACGCATAGCAAAGATTAAACAAACATGTAATTGATGAGTGGGACTTACAAGGAAATGATGGACAGTTCAGATGATCGCACAACAGATTCTGTGGATTTTCTGCAGACTATATACTCGGGGCCAGGCGGAGAAAGTCTGCAGAAACTCTGGAGTCGTTCACTTGGACATTTGTGTTAACACATACACTGCCTCCAGAGAAACTGTGAAAGATCTCCGGAGTTCAGTGCACATCTGAAAGCAGCTTTAGACTGCAGAAAAAAATACTATGAAAGCTCCAGCATTACACTAATCAAATTGTAGCAATTTTGTGAATTTTATTATAAGACAATAGAATAAGGCCAAACTCCTCTCATATTTATTGTGAGTGTTAAGATTTCAGGCATGAATTTCCGTCCTCATTCTTCAGTTTTATTTGAAAAGTGTGAGTTAACAAACAAGCTGATCTTCTAAGAAATCTGATATTTCAAAGAAGGTCATCATGTTTGTGGAACTATTTACATATTGGTTTTATATCTTCACATGAAGCCTCCGTTGCCACTCTCCGACCCTCTGCATCTCCCTTCATGTGAGGAGATGCTCCTGTATAGATGTGACAGGCTTCTCCCAGCGATATGACACTTTCAGCTCTTTGTTCTCTCCCAGCTGAAGCCTCTTTCTTCATCCCAGTGGACAGACACCGCAGTCTTCCTGCAGACTTCCACTCTCACACTCGCCAACTCATACTTTTGTTCATTTTCTCTCCTAATCGTGGCATTGGAGAATTTTTATTTTTTGAGTCAGCAGTGGGATTTTCGCTGGCCCCGCACATCAATAGTGAGGAGTCGCTTCTCCTAAGTCACATGGTACAACATCCTTTGATAAATTCAACACTGTGTTGTGTCACTAAAAGCCAATTACACCATGCTTTTTTTATGATTGATCTGCTCTGACAGTATAGTGGATGGCATTTAAATCAACAGCCCCCCGAGCCATCTCTGGGCATAAACGGTGGTGGTTATGGAGGGTGGCGGGGAGGGTTTGCAGGGGGTTACGGGTGCTTTAATCTCATTTGCTTGGTTGCTGAGTTGAGTTTCTAGATCACATGTTTTAAAAAAGAGAGCGGGAGAGTGGCGGAGATATCCAGCAAGCCTCTGCTCACTCAGCTCGAGATGGCTGCACTCTCTTACAACTTTGATTGTCCCCCGTGTCGACAGCTCGATCCACAGCTTCTGAAGTACAAGGCGCACACTGGCACTCATAAAAGCGTGCAGGGAGGTGTCATATTGAACGCGGGATTGCTTTTTAATCCCAAGCACATTGACTATTCTTGTCAATAGAACCCCAATACAACTGCCAGCTTGAGCTTTTTAGCTTTTTTTTTTCCTACAGGATTCTTGCTGGGCTTAATTTTCAAAGTGAATGCACAGATGCCAAGGAAGGCTTTTTTTTTCTGCACTAACCATACACACACACACACACACACACACACACACACTGCTCTGTGTTTGTCCTGGGAGTCCATGCCAAGAGCAACATGCATGAAGCAACAACGATCAGTGGGACCCTCCTCCACCTCCTGTTTCTCAAGAATGAATGACCTGATGGGAAATATTCACTGCTCTACTCTATTAATTATTAACCTTTTACACTAAAATGTCTCTTCTCCCTCATTTTATCTTCATCATTCAAGAGCACAAAAGTCAGAACTGCCACTAGTTGTAACAAAAAAATACTCTTTTCTCAAACCCAATCCACTGTCAAAGAATAAATCTGGCTTTTTCTCACTCGTCTGTGTTTGAATAATTATTATCCACATCATTAGACAAGTCCCCCACTGTATCTAAATTAGAAGGTCTTCTTTCAGGCCGGACATCACAGGTGTTCCCTTGGTTTCAAGTCTCAGGGGGCGGAAATCTTTGAGGATGCTGACTATTAACCCATGCTCTAATCATAGAGTCAGGAGGGGATATGAAACCCGCCAGAAGAATGAATTAATACGACTCGCCAAGGAATACACGAAGAAAGCAGCGAGTGGCCGTTTGCGCGGCTTAGGTACAACTGTCATAGTTTCTCTCATCGTGGCGCAGCCCCTTCATCTCCCCTTGATGGTGTCATGGAAGTGAGAGGCGTGAAAGCACAGTGACACTCCACGGGCCCGTTCCACTCGCAGCCGCTAATTCATCATGACAAATGTGCTCAGATGATCTGGCCCAGCAGCACTAATGGGGAGAGGAGAGAGCGCACTTCATTTGCACAAGACCCACTCCAATTAATCCATCCAGCTTTACTCTGGGCTAATTGGAGCGGGGCCCTCCCTGCCTGTGTGCTGGTAATGTACCCGACACAGTTTAACGGCTCCTGTTCTCAAAGATCATACTTTTTTGTGTGTGGATTTTTTTTTCTGTGTGGATTGTGCTGAAGGGCTGTTTTGAGGTTGTCCCTGCGATCCTAAACATAATACAAGCTCATACGTACGTTTAAATTGACCAATTAGCTGATCACATTTCCATGTAACCATATTTTACACTTTCTCCTATTTTTAGGTCCAAATTCTGAACATGTGATTACGTTTTCAAGCATGTTAGTAACAAATATACAAAGTGCATGTTTCCCAGAGTATCTTGTGTAGTTTGCCAAATGCAAAATGTATTAAAAGCAGAATAAATGAGATAAATAAATAAAAATTAGCAGATAACTGTCAAAAGCTAAAAGCAGCATCACTGCTAGCTTAAAAGAGTCTTTTGAAGTGCTCCCACATCATATGTTTTTGGTTGTTTTGACTAAAGCAGTGTGCATGTGTATGCCTGTGTGTACTTGCACAGATGTCTTTCTGAGGACCATTTTGAGCCAAGACTTCCCTTCCCTTGCCCATCTTCACTTTTTCAATGGGTTGTTTGAAGGTTAAGATTCACTTTTAGGGTAACCATTAGAATTAGGCATTGTGTGTCCTCCCTAAGACAGATGTGCAAGGTTTGTGCCTTTTGTGCCTTTGATTTTGTGGACACATTTTTGCTTTAAAACATCGTTGTAAGGGCACTTTGGTGGGTCTTCTCATTAGTTTTAGGTTAGGGTATAGGGTAAGGGATAGTGGTAGGCATGTAGCTGTAATAATGAAAGCTACCGTAAAGGACCGGGGAATGTGTTGAGTGTCCTTAACTAATGAAAGACATTGTGGCACAACTTCAAAGGCCTTTTTCAGAGGTTCAACTTTGTTTTAGACTTTATTTAGGCATTTAGGTGTAAAATGGAAAACTAGAGTTTAGGGCCAGGGAATGCTTTATGTCAGTGAGTGTCCTCAGCTAATGAATGACAAGTGTGTTTTTGTGTGTACGCCTTTGATTTTGGAGAGATTTTTGTTTTAAACCATTGTTGTGAGGACATGATTGCATTTCCTCACATGTTAAAATTGCTTTTGGAAAGTAACGTTTTAAGGTTTATGTTAAAATTAAATCTAGGTTAGAGTTTAGGGTAAGGGTTAGTAGTAGTCATCTAGCTATGATGTTGAAAGCTGGGGTAAGGTGCTAGAGAATGCTTTATGTCAACGAGTGTCCTCAACTAATGAAAGACAAGTGTGTGTATGTGTGTGTGAGAGATAGAGAGACATCACATTGCTTTGGTGCCTTGCGCCAAAACCTTTGGCACAAAAGGGACATTCTTTGTCTAAAGTTAGAAGTGGTCTGCTTGTTAATTAATCCATCATAAATTGATTTTGATCTCTCCAGTGCTTGATTGATGCGTCCACACACTTGATAGCGCGGGTCCTCTGAGGAAGGCAGGCACTGATCCAGTGTTTTAAGTTTCTGGCTCGTTGTCAGACCATGTCCTCAACAACTGACGTCTGAGTCTTGAAGTTACATAGAGGAAAGCCGACTGCACATTTGCATTTTCGAAGTTGGGCTGTGTGCGGCTGAAAAATCTAGAACAATTGTTGGCCTGTCACTTCAGCTTTATCTTAAAAACTTACAAAGGTTTTCCTTCTTGCCGTACACGGCTGCTCTGGTAATGCTGCCTCCTGTGTCTGCAGACGTATTTTTCTAAAGGTGTGTGTGGCACATCTGTGCAGCTATTGTTTATTCATGGAGTAAACCCTTTGAAATGTGTTAAGATACTTCCCACTCATTATAAAAATCCTGCCACCCATGGATTAGGACTTTGATGTCACCAATCCTGCTTCAAAGGCTTCTTTCACTGCTATTAATCACAGTTTAGCCTCTGAAGATATAGCCAGAGAAAACATTTGGACATCTTGTGCAGAAACTTTGAAATGTTCAGACTGTCGTGCATATGCTACGTTCATATCCTTTCCGCTGTGTGTGGGGCTGTTGAACTGCTGTGCACGCAGCTGCACTCCTGAGTCTATGGGATTCAGCTCAGATTTAGGCTTTTTTCTGAACTGTCTTCTTTTACTGAGCTGCATATGAGCACTAACACTGTTAATACAGTAATAATAATAACTGTATTTGTACAGTAGTGGAGTTTTTCACCTTACTTTTCATTTCATCTTGTATATTGAAAAAGAAAGTCACACAAAACACCAGATAGTTCACTCACAATAATTGCTTCATTCAGTCTCTGACAGCTCGTCCCGATGTTACTTCGAATGATTTAAGTTTTATTTTAAACAGGAAATCTGGCAACATCCAGGGTGAGGATCACCGCCGCCTCCAGATCTCTGCCCCCGCAGCTCAGTTCAGGACGCACCAAGGTGAGGCATGTGCTCCTGTGGCACAAATCATCACATCTGATAGCATATTGTTTTGTCTTTTTTTGAAATTATTTGTTGCTGACAGACATTACACCATAAGAAACCCAGTAAAAAGCTGCACTCTGTAGCATACCACATTAATTGACTCCCCTATTATGTTTGCTGTCTTGCTTGTGGTGATGCAGCATCGCCATCTGGCATTTGGTGTCTACGACATGAAAGTCGTTTCTCAGAATCACTGAGTTGTTTTGCTCTTACGGGCAGAGAAGTATTATAAAATTTAAGGATTATTTTTGTATATTATCTAAAAATCACAACAGCAGCTTCACTAAAGTACATGTTTCAATAAGAGGCCATGATGGTTTTTTATTAGGATAATATTCTATAATAATTATTTGTGTAGTAACTTAAACTAGCACATTGAAAATATATTAATATTCATTAATCATGTTCATTCTGTGATTTTTTTATGCAGAGTTTCTTTGAGTAACTTTTTGTGTGATCACAGTTATCGCAACAAACTTTTTCAAATTTGAATTTTCTTCTGATTTCACTTCATTTCTGATTTACTTTTTAAATCTTGTTAAATCTTATTTCTTCTGAAAGTGAAAATATCTTTGGCTGTTGTTGAATAACTTGGTCTGTTTTAATGAAAAAACAGATCACCTTTTGTTTTACATAAAAAAGACGAACTACAACTTCTTTACTTCCTGTCTATCCATTTCTCTCTTCCTTTATTTCCTCAACATGTGCTGTACTCAAAGTCTCCCAAATACCTATTGAAGGTAAGAATTCTGGTATAAAAAAATCTATCTTAATAGACCTTTTTTTTCTTAATAACAGACTTTTTTTTTAACTTGCCAGCACTCTCTAGAAATACATAATTCACTGAAATCAGCCGAACAGCGCTTTGATCTAAACTGAGACTTTAACTCTGTTTCACTAACTTTGCTTCACTCTTCTATCTTCAATTACAGTCTGGTTTTGAAAAAATTTATTTTCTCCACACAGCCACAATTCTGATATAAACAAAGTTATATTAATGATGAATCATTTAAGTTTATAGAAATACTTAATATGAAACACAAACACAAGACACAATTTTGGTTGAGTCTAGTAAAACAACTTTGTTGAACTTCCACTAAGTACCTACTCAGTTATTCTTTAACAAGAAAATGCTTTTTTAATATCGCCTTGGTGTGATTGATGTAATATGTATGCCGTCATGCTCTCAATCAGAGTGGGGTAGAAGTTGACAGAAAGTGACACTTACTAAAAGTTTGGAAATTCAAGTCGTGCTGCGGTTGTTAAGAGTCGTGGGAGTTAGCCCCAGATAGCGGTAGTTCTGAATGATTCTCAAAGAATCTGATTCCTCTGTTCATGTAAAGCAGATAACGTTTGACATACCTCTTCTGTGTCTGTGAGAGGATGGAATCAAGTATTAACATACACGCTTTGCTACGTAGACTTACCATAAAATATACACTGCATCATTAATTTTGATGAAGCCATGAACTGCGAAGGCCATTAGAAAGCTTATATTGTGTCCTCGTTAATCCGTTGTAGTCAGGATGACTGTCTGCTCGGTGACGGCTAGTCTCATTACTCAGAACGATCCACAATTTTCCCATGCCCCACAGCAGTGCGGAATTATTCTCTAGATTGTTAGCTTTAAGTGTTTATGGGGCTGTGCTATACAGACGGCACAGTTAGTACAGCTGTGAATTCCCAACTGGCCCATTTAGAGGAAGGAGACCTGCTGTAATAATACCTTTATTTCTACATAGCCCACATAGGACGTCAGGTTGCAAATAAACGACGTCTCATTTAAATCTGCCTGGTTTACAGTGATGCGCCCGGCCTGAGTCCGGCCTGTTTGTCAATGTTGTGTGTTCAGAGTGAATGTTTGTGTCCAGGTGGACACCATGGAGATGATGCGGCACCCAGAAGAAACCACCAACATGAGGAGACAGACAGTGGCCTCCTACTTCCGTGTAGGTGTCCATTCTCTGTCACTCTCCCAGCAGCTATCGCAGAACATACAACCATTATAAAGTACATGTGTTATGTGCTAGAGAGATAAAAGATATTCTGATATTCTGAGAAATTCTACTATTCATTAAAACTCACAGTAACTAGTTCTCTGGAGAACAACATGGACAACTGGCTTCCCACCACATTATGATCAGATATACATTCAGTAATAACAATGTACTTACTTTGAGGTGATACTGGTCAGCAACAAAAGTCTGACTTACTAGTGGGTAAGGAGTTGGTCAAAATGGGATGTAACTTTGTCTGGTATTCAAAAGTTCTTCTCCAAATCTATTCTATTTAATCTATGTCTGCTGGATACGTAGGTGGCATGGTTCGATCCCTGGTCCCTGCACTGTCTGAAAAATTGGGAATGGACATGTTACGTAGTTTCTTTAACATATGAAGAAAGCAGCAGGAGATTGTTTAGGTCAAACATGGTCACAACAGGAAAATATCTGAAACGTTCAGGCGAGGGGTGGCACCTGGATAGAACAGGTGGCAGGATATGATGTAGAGTCACATTTTTTTTACAGCACATCACCACCAGCAGCTATAGCAGTGCTAGAAAAGTGCTATATAACTGCAATCCACTTACTATCTATACAAATGCAGTCCATTTACCATTAGAACTTTGTATGGTGATAAAGTCTTTTCAGCTTATTTTGTTTCCCCCAAGTTACAAAAATCATCAGTTATTTACATTCGTTATATGAGAACAAAAAACTTTGCTCAATCCCGTTGGGACTGATTAATCCTGCCAGTTACTATTCACCTTAAACTCTATAATGAAACACATCTTCATCTGGAAGAAGGTTTCCCTTTGATGTGCAAATCATCACAACTGTATCATAGCACCAGACTTTGATAACATGAATTAATTTAACTGCTCTCCTGTGTTCTTGCCCCTGCCTACTGTTTACTGTTGTCTCATCTGTTTTTTTCTACAGTACTCCCTGATGGATTTGCTGTCTAAAATGGTGGTGGGTCAGCCACACTTTGTGCGCTGCATCAAACCCAATGATGACAGGCAGGCGCTGTGCTTCTGCAAGGAGCGGGTAATGGTGCAGCTGCGCTACACCGGGATTCTGGAGACGGTGAACATCCGTCGACAGGGTTACTCCCACCGCATCCTGTTTGAAGAGTTTGTCAACAGGTAAGAGCGGCGTGGAAGCAGGCGGCACATCCTCTCTCCGGCATGCACGCATGCTGAGCGCCGGCATAACCCTGGAGACAGTGCAGAACAAGTGAGCCATGCTCAGCATCACACAAAAACACAGGTTCTTTAATTAGATAGGGGTACAAGTTGAGCAGAGCAAGAGGCAGACTAATTGGCAGTCATTAGTGATAGTGCAAGACTAAATCCTACAGCTCTTGTAACTGGGTGGATACTCCAGTCTGGAGAATATGGATAAAACTCAAACAGGGAGGAACTGTGATTATAAGGGGTGATGCATTTTAATGGATTTCCTTTTACTATTCATAAAGAGTTTGTTCTTTAACTCAGTGACCTGGAAAAGCTCTAATGTAGTCTCCTCGTCCCATTGGTATATATTAGAACACAATTAAAACAAGATTTCCTCATTAGGGGGTCATTATGTAAGGGTGTTGTTTTTGTTGTTAAGAATGTGGGACAGGATCTGGTAACTATGCTGCACACTTGTGTTCAGATTTAGAAAGTAGTGAACCTAAACATTCTCTGCCCCTTCAAAAAACAAATACACATTTTTAGTCACAACTGTGGGAAAATTCAAGGAAACTTAAGTCTGATCAATTTTCCTTTGAAAAATATTCTAGCCTCTTTTAATGTGCCGACTTTAAGATGATGTAACATTTAATTAATTTGGGCTTGTGGCCTCTAGGAGAGAAAAAACTTGGTCGGCCAGTCTCACTGATTTAGTGAAGCTTTAGAAATTTGCTCTTTGAATGACCACATGGTTTTTCCTCACAACACTTTATAGCTGCTTTCAGATGAACTCTGGATATTCTCCTGAAATTATCAGGAGTTTCCCCTGTCAGCACCCTAGTAAAAACTCTGGATCATGTGAGCCCATGTGTGAATAAAGCAGGATATTATCCGGAGGATTCACTGCGAGCAAGTGGACATGTTGATGACATTTCTTTAATGTGAGAGATAAAAAACTGGAAAAACAAACAAATAGAAAACAGATATGTCAGGATGAAAAATAGGATCCATACACATAAAAGACGCCAAAGAAGATGCCAACTGGGAAAGACAATGAGGTCCGAGAGCTTTTTTTGATAGGAGCTAAAGCTGGTGTTGATGTGCTCTCAATAAAAACATTCCGCAACGGAATGTATACGTCATGTCCTGTCTCTTGCTTGCGCTACCCAGACGCCACCTCTCACCTGAATATGCCAGACATTTTTCTGTTTGTGTGAACACAGCTGACCCACACGATCTCCTGCAGCGTTCTTTATATGTGAGTCAAGAGAGTTTGAGCTTATGTCTGAAAATGTGTGTGTGTGTGTGTGTGTGTGTGTGTGTGTGTGTGTGTGT